AATAGCTCTCTCTCTCTCTCTCTCTCTCTCTCTCTCTCTCTCTCTCTCTCTCTTATTTTATTCTTAAACGCGGGATGAAATGAAGTCCCATCTCATTCAATCCCAAGCATACCCCAAAGTTTTAAAGGGGTAGTGCCATGGCACATCCCTTTCGTGCTTACTACTCCAAGCCATCCTCCAAAGAGAGGCGCTTCCACTCCACCAGGCGAAGTAAGAACTCCATGACCTATAATAATAATAATCCAAAGATCACATCAGCAATTTCACACCCCGCACACAAACTTCCATTTGTCCGTATAATACATGAGGTTACACTAATTACTTCAGAGGGCCGTCGCAGGAAATAAGAAGCATTCGTCTCCTTTGGAAACTCTGAAACGAGGATCCCAATGCCTCGGCCTCTATCACGTAAAACCTAACAAAATCACGTCACATTCTTCCTGTTATCAACATCACTAACTCATGAACTTTAGAGGCAAACAAGGTAAATGGAGATTGCATGTATACCTTAAAAGCATCTTCATCGGTGAGATCATCTCCGATGTAAACAGGCAATACATTTTTGGAGTCAGCAAAACCTATAGGAATCAGAAGAAGTTGATGCTTCGTTAATGGAATAATTAGAACGCCAAACCAATGCTACTCTTCGGTTTACCAAGTGAGTCTAATAGGAACTGCAAGGCGCTCCCCTTGTCCCATTTAATAATGGGACGGATCTCCAGTACCTAAATATGTAGTGAACGAGGAACACAAGTCACATCCATGTTATGGTGTTAAGCTCCAAAAAGAGAGAGAAACACTTCACCTTTCTCCCTGGAGTAATCCGCAACATGGGGTATTCCTTCAACACTAACCACACCTGCTCCAGCAGCACTCTCCAATTCTGCATATAGTTCATACAGAGAGAAGGATAAGATGAAAATATTTTGTTTCCCATGCATGATGGCATGGAACAAGCAGTTGGTCCTCGAGTGTGAGCTCACGGCTGACCTTTTCATCTACACATCTAAAGTGAACAGACACACAGAACTTGTTGTTCTCCAACTTGGCACCAGGAATGGGTTTGGTCTTCTTCGACAGCGCTTTGTGAACCTGAAGGAGAAAGCAAATGTTGGTGATCATGTATAATGCTATAGTTTCATGTACAGATCAGAGACACTTGGAAGATGAACCAAACCTTCTTTATCATGGGCAGGAATTCGCTTGCTGGTTGAAAGAGAACAGTTTTTTTCTGGACAACGAAGACGAGAGAGAAGCATAAATGTGTGAGAGAAATTTTCTTGATTTTGATGTAATAACAGGGAAAATGAGTGGTACCTTCTTGGTGTATTTAGTTCCTTTGCGAACTTCGATGTCCATGCCATGGCTTCCAGCGTAGTACAACTCGGTCAATTTTACGAAGTCAAACAACTACAGATCATGGGAGTCAAATGGTGAGCAGAGGAAACAGAGAGACGGACATTACTGACACATGTTATGTCTTGGAGTTGGGTGTTCACTGCACCTTGCTTCGGCACCGCCCGCTCACAATCGCGGTGGGGAAGCACCCTGCCACTTCCTTCACGGCAGCTCTCATCTGATACTCCCGAGACAACCAATCGAATGATCACAATATCATCTTTTGATGAATTGGGGCACGCAATAAAGAGATGAAAGAATGGAAGACTCACTGCATCCGACATGAATGCAGAGTCGGGATCATCGACGATGGGGGACAGCGTCCCGTCGTAGTCCAAGAACATTACGATTTGCTTTCCTTTGGTGGCTTTCATGAGCTGCTCAAACTTACTCAAAGCAGATGGATGCCGCACCTGCTCCAGCAAAACATGACTATCAGCGATCGGGAGATCCGACCTTTTTGGGTTAAAGGACGAACGCAATTGAACTATAAGCGCTTACGATCCATGCTGAGTGCTCATTCTGTTCGCGCTCTATGATGGGCACCGCGGCAGCGCTGGCCGCAACCTTCGCGTGGATGGGAGAGGAAGTTTTCATCGACTCCAGCCACGCGTTGGTCCAGCTCTCGCCGAGCTCGACCTGAGAAAGGTGCTTCTTCCTGATAGCGGCTGCAGCGGAGGCGCCACCACCGCGAGGCGGGGGGTAGGGGAACAGGACCGGGGGTTTGGCTGCCGCCGCCACCGTGATAGCTGGCGTTGCCTCCGGCACGACCACATTCTGATTCGTCATGGCGGCGAGGAGTAAAGTTCGGTTCTTTTTCGTTTCCTTGGCTAAAAATGGGATTTTTAAGGATTTTGAGGGTTGGTAGGGCGGTGGTAGTGATTGAGATTGGGGAGTTGGCGACGGAGCGATGTCGCGGTGGGCGGTGGATTTATGGGAGCGAGGAGAACACAAGGCGACGAAGGCCGGGGCCCACGCCCAGGTGGTTGGCGGCCGTCGGGCCCGCCGCCTTCAACGTCGCGGCGAACGCAGCACGCGCCAGCGTCGGGTCCACGTGTGATGCGGACGTGTCGATCCCGCAGCGCCAACAAATCCAAAAGCCACCTAACAAATGGCGGTAGCACTATTTTTCACCGCATAAAATTATGAAGTTTACGAATTAATTCTTCTTACTACTTATTAAGATCGTGCAATTATAAAAGAATATGATCATTAATTTTGGTCAATAAAAATTTGAGCCACGTGGTTGATGAATCCAAATATTACTATGCACTAATTAAATAATATCATATCAATAAAAAATCTAAAAGATCATTTTCCTATTACAGTTCGTTTGTTTTTTTAAGATGTCTTTATCGTTTTTCTCATATAATATTTTTATTTTCCTTTCTTTCATTACACATCGCTTTCACCTATTGGTGCCACCTATCGTTTCTTATTTATATCTCTATCATCTCTATCCCCTACTTCTACTACGAGATTTTATTGTCTTTATATAGTATCTTACACCCCTCCTCTTTTCACTTCATGATTTTACTATTCTTTGTACTACAATCTTGTCCACTTGTTATATTTACCACTTTTACCCCTTCCCATCACCTCTATTCCGGACCTATCACTATAAAACTTTGCCCTTGTTGACCTACCATGCTCATCACCTAGACCTTTATGTGCCTCATATCACTCGTCATCTTTGCTTATGAACATCTTTCTTAACCCATTACACATGTCACATTCGCTCTTCCTTTGTTTTGTTTCATGAGGCGAAGGTGATAATCATGACGAGAGAGGAAGAGCACACAAAGGCAAAGATGATAGTTGTGATGAGCAAGACCCCTCGGTGATAGGTAGGGGGGGGGAGGTGACAGGTGAGGAAGGGTGGGTAACACCAACAAAGCGACGATGATAAAGACAACCGATGACTAGGAAAGAGAAAGAAATTTATAAGATTAAAAAAATAAAAAAGATTCTATTTAGGAAAATGAAAAGAGGAGATACCTTATGAAAACATAAAAAAGGAAGATTTTTTAGGAAATCATTCAAATCTAAAAAGAATATGCTTTTTCTATAATCATTGAGCTAAATCTAAACCTGAATTTATTATAGATTTTTTGCTCATAATAAATTTAAACTAACTTAAGATGAAAATAAAATATGAGATATAAGATATATGTATTGTTATCTTTTGCCTTCGGTTGATAATTTTCTTGATCATATTCTCTCGAGAAGAACTTTTCATTTTCTAGATGTGATCCAAATAGAATCAATCTCCATATATTATTAGATTGACAATTGATATGGGAAATCTAACATACAAGTAATTCGTTAACACGTTAGATCTGACTATACACCTTTGTCATTCTGATATGATAGTTAAATCATCATCTATAGGAATGCTGGTTCAATGTGGACAAAACAACCTATTAAACCAGAATGACAACTTGTGACCCTCCAGCATCATTAGCATAAACATTGATTGTCTTATAATTATAGCATTTGACAATTTGACTCATGACTAGTTGAATATTTGACATAATTGTTTTTGGAATTACTCGTCTGCTCTAATCTAATGGCTACCTGTAAAAGGTCCTCTAAATGCTTCTTTGACTAGAAAAATATTATCTTATTATTTTAGAATCATATAAAATCATACTAATTTAAGTATCGAAAGCGTCTACGAACCATTTGCCTCTGATATAATTTTAAAGGATCAGGAATCCATCGTTTTCCCAAAATCTAACCTATGATAAGAGTTAGAAGTTAGACTCATATAATATAATGATAAAATTTGATCGTATTACTAAGTCTTATAATGATAAAGATGAATAATACATACGAAACAAGTAACGTGAGCCCAAAACCAGCTGCCATGTTCTTTACAGTGTGTCGAGTAATTTTTATGAGACGATTCCATTAAAAAAGAACACATCCAGATTTTCTGATAGCATTAAAGATAGACACTAATCAAAATCTGTTCTTGGAGAGCAAGACACGAGAGTGGTGTTAATTACAACACACACAGACATAAGAATGAACTGTTACTTTTATCATTATTTCTTATAGTACTTACATATAAAAATGTATCTATGTTTGGGAGGTGATGCTGTGAATAAACAAAAAGACATTTATCGTCTTCCAAAATTGTGTTCCTCTCTCATGGTTTAGGGTTCTGAACTGTACCCCGTGTGACTCGCTAAAAGTCAATGCTTCCTTCCATGTACCTAATTCTGATCGTTTGGATCTGCGTGCAGAAGCCTTCAGAAAAATAAAAGGAGTAGTTGGCTGTCTTACTTTTAGTTTAATACGTAGAATCTATCACAGATTTGCACCAGCTTTAAATTATTATATCGATGGTTTCAACGTTAGAACTCTATGTTCCAGACTGAGCTCACTGTAAAGAAAATTCCCACGCAACAATTCCAATCTTTGCTGAAGGAACCCTCCGTTTATTACACCAAACAATCAATATTCTTCACTGCTGCATAAAAATATTTGATTGCTAAGTATTCAGGAGTCATGAAATTAATTTAAAATTTTATTTATTCGATAAATATTTCATGTATATGTAAATCTTGGTGGTGGGAGAGCAACATATGAGAAAATAATTTGGGTGATTCAACTTATTTGAAGGATCAGAATCCAAATAAGAAAAAAAATTTATGATTTAGAATTTATTTAGTCTATAAATAGACTAAATAACTTAATCAAACTTATGATTTGATAACAATAAATTTTTTAGTTTTCTTTGTGCAATTTTATGTTAATTTTCTGGTTTGTTCTTTAAATTTTGAAGTTTTTCTTTCGAACAAAAGATCCAATGATTAAAAATTCAATAAAGATGTTTATATTTTGATGGAAGAAAGAGTTTTACTTAATGAGGGTGAAAGTTGTCCTTCAACAAAACGTAGTAAATATGTTAGGGGGACGAACAGACAAACTTGAACTCCATATGATCGATAAAAATTCAAAAGGAGCTAAAATATATTTTCTACGACGCACACAAATAGATAAAAAATACTCAATTATTGTTTAGGTTAGTAAATATTTTATTAATAGTTATATGATTTAATTATTTGAAGAACTAAGAATTCAAGTAAGAAAAGAATCCTTTGTGATTCAAAATTTATTTATCTTATAAATAATTAATTTATAAGATAAATAAATTTTATATTAATTTTTAATTTGTTTTTAAATAATTAAACATTTTCTTTTGATTTTAAAAGTGTTTTTAATGAAAAAGAATGGGTGATTTTTTTGATGTCGAGACTCCATATGGAAGACATATGGATTACACTACACTTTCTTGCAGAATCCAGCCAAGAGTTTCTTGTATGCTTACATTTCTTCCGATGAAGACACACACACGCATTGATCCAGTGCAAGTCCATCAGGGCTCCGCAAGGATCATTTTCTTGCCTTCTTCGTGAGACATGAGGTGGACGATTAAGCTCCGTCTCCCTGACGTTTGTCGAAGTGGGATCCGGACTCGGGTTTCCGTGTCAGAAACCTGCTAGCTTCCAGTGACACGTTCCCTGAGCTCTTCTCCCTTCGCACCACTCGAGGCATTGTTGCCACCGATCTTTATCTTTATCAAGTGATCACTTATCAGCGGCTGCCTGCCCAAAGCCTGCCATGGTGGTCTCTATCCATCTTTCTCGCTTTGGTGGAGTCTCGAAGCATGAAGATTACCACTTCGGCCTCCCAGATATTTCTTTGCTTTTTGTTTGTTGCTTTGCATGCCATTCAAATAGCTTATCCATCTCTGCACCTACATCTCTGCAAATCGTAAGCAATGACGGTCTTGTGGAGGTGTTGCCCTTTGAGTACCAAGATGAAAAAAAAGAGAAGAGATAAAAATTCAAACATCAAGAACGAATCAGAATAATTTAAAATATAGATAACTTAATCATATAATAATCCTTCAATCAGTGCTTTGCAACCCTGTTTCTCTCCCTTAATCAGACTTGATGCCTGATAAAAAGATATCACACCTCTATTTATAGTCTAAACTAATGACACTTAAAATATATCAGAATTTATTATAATTCAATCTAAAATATATAAATCTTTATCTTGATATTATTTGAACAAATAAAACTTATATTAATATTATCTTAACACTCTCATAATGCTAATATATTTAATTATAAATTTATGCATTCAAATAAAAAATTCTTTTCTAATCGTAGATTTGTTAGAAAAAAAATTTTCCCTGAAACTCTCACTTGAGTGTTGACTGGATCTATCAATATGTTTCTTTAAAAAATTATGAATTCTTCATCTCTTTGAATCAATTTTGTATCTTCATTTTTTTCACAATTTATAGGTTTTTCAACTTCAATAAACTTACTCCACCTTGAACATAAAATCCCATTTGTTTGGTTCATCATTAACAGATTGACATGCAAAAGGTAAATTTTTAGATTTATCATCTCCTCTTAGCAAAATCTTTCAATATGATCATACTTTTTATAATAATAACACTGAATATTCCTCTTATAATAATCATGATTATTACCTTCCATGTTTCTTTCCTTTTGGTAATCAAATTTATTGTCTGATCCGTCTCTTGGACTATTATTTTCTTTTTTTTCCTCCTTGAAAATATTTAATTTACTTTGTAAGATATGCTCAATATATGTATTTTAAGATCTATTCAACTTATCCTCATGTGATTGTAAAGAACTAAGCAATTCACTAACCTGTAACTTAGATAAATCTTTTGATTCTTCAATAGCATCAACTATATGATCATATCTATCCATAAAACTTTTTAAAACTTTTTCAATATTTTTTTAATAAAAAACAAATTCACTATATCTTTTCATCTAATTTACTATCTCCATAACTCTTGAAAAATAGGTTTATATTGTTTATCCATA